ACATGGTTTGGGAATAAATAAATCAAAAATCGATTTTGTTTAAATAACAATAAATAAAATATAAAATAAATAAATAACGGTCGAGCTTATTATGCCTGCTTGACTTTGGATATTTCATGTTAATCCTAAATTTAAGAAACATTAAGAAAAGAATTATATTATTTTACTAAAAGTGTTTGGGTATAACATACACAACAAATATAATTAATATTATTATAAATGAAAATAAATCAACGGTAAAATTAAATTAAAAAAAAAAAGATAAGAAAAAGGTTTATAGATACAAAGCACACACCATAATGGACTTTGCCAACAATATACATGGTGATTGAAAAATATATTAATTTGCTGGAAAAATGGAACTTGAAATATTTGAAACCTATTCCGGAAAATGGAAATGGGAGAATGCAGCTGAAGGTAATGAGTAAACTTGATCGCTACATGAGTTTTGCAATTAGACAACTCTATTCTATACTATTATATATGAAGATATGTATAAACTTGTTAACACAAGTTGAACACAACGAGAACTAAGTTGGAAAAATTCACAAGATCGCCATTTGCAGCACTAGCGTCAAGAAAGGGGCGAGGATGATGACACCAGATCGGTAACCTCCTGCCCGGCTACGCCGACACAGTCGGATGGATTAACCTTGGAGAGGTTGGCAGCTTAGATGCGCGAGCTGCAAGCTCGAGTTTAGGGCAAGAGGCCCACAGTTTCACGAGGACATCTTTTCGCGGAGGAAGTCCTTGGAGGAGATTTACCAAGTAACTTTAGAGAACTAAGTTTGTCTTACGATGGGATAACATAGTCGTGCGGCACAAATATAGCGACGCTGTCAGCTGGCGAGTCGGCACAGGATTTGTTCCACCAGCTACCGACGGGGTCTATCGATAGCTTTGGGAAGTTTAGTTCTGATATGGGATATTATACCTAGAAGAATAAACCGGTTCCCTAAGTCGGTTGAACGGATGGGGATACGAAGAAGACCGTATTTGGTCGTAGTACCGAGCAGGGGGGTTACAACGAAATATCGTCAAGGAGAAGATGACGAGGGCCCGGAGGTGAGTAATATAGAAGATTTGGGCGAGGGTCGAGAAGGTCGAATAAAGAATCACCCAATGGATCGCCGTACTGGTCGAAGACATCCTGGAAGCAACCTGATGGTCGATCATTCTATGAATGGAAGACGACTTAAAGGATTAACTTGGATAAGGTCAAACAGGAGAGCCTCTAACTGAGAAACATGTTGGGAAGTTGGAAACATGTTGGCTAATGGAAACATGTTGGAAACATGAATGGTCGATGTGTTGGAAACATGTTGGGAAGTTGGAATCGAACTGAGAAGGACCATACCTTGTCGAAAAAGTTCATACTGGAGGAGCATACACATTGAAGGATGCTGAAGGAAGGTCGCTTGCCAGATCATGGAATGTGGCTAACTTGAAGAAATATTACGCTTAAATTTTTTTCAACTTTCTGCCTATGAGAAACTTCGCTGAAATGAATGTAATTAACTCCTTTATTCATGATTACTGAAATAACATATTCCAACTCTACAATTTTTTGTGTTAACGAATTATATTATTGCTGGAATATTTAGAGTAACTTCAATGGCAAGATACTTGATAAAAAATCCATCATGACTAAGGCCATGAGGCTGGATGGTCGTATGTATCGACCAACTCTTTGAAAATGAGCATGCGTTCAAAGAACAAAAAAATCCATCATAACTAAGGCCATGAGGTTGGATGGTAGCATGTATCGACCACCTCTTTTAAGGTGTGCATGCGATCAAAGAAGAAAAAACCCATCATGAATAAGGCCATGAGGCTGGATGGTCGCATGTATCGACCAACTATTTGAAGGTGGGCATGCGTTCGAAGGAGAAAAAATCCATCATGACTAAGGAAATGAGACTGGATGGTCGCATGTATCGACCACCTCTTTGAAGGTGGCATGCGTTCGAAGAAGAAAAAATCCATCATGACTAAATCCATGAGGCTGGATGGTCGCATGTATTGACCACCTCTTTGAAGGTGGGCATGCGTTCGAAGAAGAAAAAATCCATCATGACTAAGGCCATTAGGTTGGATGGTCGCATGTATCGACCACCTCTTTGAAGGTGGCATGCGTTCGAAGAAGAAAAAATCCATCATGACTAAGGCCATGAGGCTGGATGGTCGCATGTATCGACCACCTCTTTGAAGGTGGGCATGCGTTTGAAGAAGAAAAAATCCATTATGACTAAGGCCATGAGGCTGGATGGTCGCATGTATCGACCACTTCTTTAAAGGTGGGCATGTGTCCGAAGGCGAAAAAATCCATCAGGGTTAAGGCCATGAGGATGGACGGCCGCTTGTATCAACCACCACTTTGAAGGTGGGAATGTGTTTAAAAACAAAAATTCCACAACAACTAAGAACCAACAGGTTGAATGGTCGGTTGCTTCTAAATATTGCTATTAGGGTAAGAGTCACAGTGTCGACCACCTCTTCGAGGGTGGACATGTGATTGAAAGCGAAGAATTTCTCATATATTTACACATGACGGATGCGTCGGAATTTGCACAAACACAACATTGAGAATGTACATCAATTAAAAGCAAACACAGTATGAAGAGTCGGCGTGATCGATTAGAATAAAATTCATTGATAGTGAAGTTCTTACAAACGCAAATACCTAATTTTCAAATGAAAAATACGAAAGTATTCAATACAAAGTGTTCAAAGAGCAGAAGTGTCAGGATTTTGAGAGGTCTGCTCGGCGTTGTTGTCAGAATTTGACTCTGGCTGCTGCTCGGCCTGTTGATTAGAGCCAGAGGTCGACTCGGCCATGTCCAATAGAGG